AATTTTAGGAATAAATGGTAAATGGTATAAACGCCCTTGCAAAAGCTAGAAAAAACATGCGTGAATGAAAAGCAATTCTTCCTCTCTGTTATTAGCATGTAATTTTTTTCTCTCTTTCATTCTCCCAGTGAATTTCAGCGTGTCAGTGGTACTAGAGCTGATTTTGATTCTATGGAAATCTTTGAGAATACTCGGTCATAAGAATCCAAGAAAATGAAAGAAAAGGGGAAGCATGAGGCATAAATTGAAAAACAAAATGGATCAAGAAGTGGAGAGTTGAAGCAGGAGGTTGGAGGATTGAAGAACAAAATGGCCAAAGTAAAATAATTATGGACCACGCTGGTTTGAAAACGGACTGCAGGATGAAAATATTGTAGCAGAAGTCCAGCAAGAAATGCTCCAAAGAAGAACAGATGTTACTAGAAAATGAGGAGGAGATGAGTATGGTGAAACTAGACTTAAAATTTCAGAGGTTGGGTTATATGAAGTGGAGAGACGGGTTAAACTTGAAGGAGAACCTGTCAAGATTTGAAGGTGAGACTGGCATCTTTGCCGCTGGGAGATAAGGCATTGGAATGGCATCAAATTTTAAAGAGAAATCGATGACCGCATATGTAAAAATCTTGGAAGCAATTTTTGGAGAAGCTTATGTGGATCCAATGGCCCAACTAACCACCTTGAAACAAGAAGACTCCCTGCAAGAATACATCCAACAATTCAATATTCTCGTAAGCCACGTGACAATTACCGATGAATACTAGATCAGTCTCTTCGTTTCGTGGTTAAAGGCAGAACCCTAGACCTTAGTGAAGACTCATCATCCGACTACATTATAACAGGCGATTGGTGAAGCCACTGGAAAAAGTATTGGTGACCATGTACCAAAGCCTGAAACTTTACCTTTAACTCTCCAAACCTTATTAAAAAAGAAAAAAAAACATCTAAAGAGCTCTTCGAAATGTGAATGCCCAATCATACTTCTAAATCTACCACATTAACTTCATTCTATAAGCCAGACCATACCAAAAACAGCCTAACCTCTACTACCAGGTCATCAGCCCAATCAGAAAATATGGGCAACCAAACTGCCTCAAGTTGTTATAGTGTTGGATTATTAACAACTCTAAGTACTCACACAATGAAACTAAGTCTAAAGCAATTGTAGGATAAGAGAATCAAGGATCTTTAATACTTTTGTGATGAAAGAACCATATTGGGCATAATTACAAGAACGAAGAATTGCTCATGGTTACAGTACATGAAGGAGAAGAGGAACAAGAAGAATGAGAAGAAGCAGCAGAAGGAAAAGAAACCGAGGAGCAGTCTTGCACATCTCCATGTATGCCATTAGAGAGAGGGCAGAAACCTGATAACTCTACCAATCCAATAAGAGTTAAAGGAATGGTATGTAATAGACAAATTCATATGCTAATTGCCATGGGTAATAGTCACAATTTTCTGGAGTTGACAGTGGCTAAAACGTTAGCATGTAAAATTACCACCACCAAGCTGATGTATGTTGATGTAGCTAGCAGTCATATACCATTGAGGGTACAGACTGTTGTAAAGATGTGAAATGGAACATGCAGGAGAAAGATTTTCAAGCTACAGTTTTTGTAATCATCATGGGATGAGCAGAGGTTGTTTCGGAAATACAATGGCTCACTAAGTTGGATGACATTGTATGTAATTTCAAACAGCTAACTATGATGTTTAAGAGGGAGGATAGGTGGATAAGATTGTAAGGAGAAGAAGATGAGATAGAAGTTAAGCAAGTTTCACAAGCCAGAATGATGAAACTCACCAAAAAGGAGTTTATAGGCCAACTATGGACAATCAAAATAACGTAGCCACATGAAATTATGCCTGCTGTGTCCAACAAAATAACCAAAGAACCTCCATAAGAACTACAGCCTGTGTTAAACCAACTTGTTGATGCTTTTAATACCCCTAAGACCTTGCCACTACACAGAATCCATGATCACAACATCCTTTTTACCAACCCTCGTAAAATAGTATATACACAACCTTACAAACACTCAAAAAGTAAAAAGATTTGGCAAAATGGTGAATGAACTATCAGAGTCGAAAGTAATAAGAGAAGGCCAAAGTCCATGTTCTTCACCTGTTGTACTAGTCAAATTGAAAGATGGATTGTGGAGAATGTGTGTTGACTATTGCAAATTAAAAAAATGGACATTGAAGGATAAATCTCCCATTCCTATCATTAACGAATTGTTGGATGAGTTATGCTGCTGATCAATATTTTAAAATTGGATTTGCACTCTGGTTACCACCAAATACACATGGCAGAGACAGACGTACAAAAGATGGCTTTTTGAACAAACGAGGGATACTAAAAGTTTTTCCTGATGCCATTCAGGCCTCCTAATGCCCCTTTAGCCTTTTAATAAACTCATGGACAACGTGTTCAAACCTTTTTTTAGGAAGTTTGTTGTCATTTTTTTAGATGATATTTTAGTTTACACATTTTTGGACATACTAATCACTTGGAAGAAAAGTTTTTACTTTTTTTAGATAGAATCGGTTAGATGTGAAAAAAGCAATTATGTTTTGGGACCCCTACAGAGGAGTAGATATATCATCACTATACATTGTGTGGCAATTGATCCCAAGAAAGTAAAAGCTTTGAAAAAAAAAAAAAAGCAGCCTTCTACACCAAAATAGCTTAGTGGATTTATTTGCCCTACAGGCTAATACAGAAAGTTCATACGCCATTATGGAATTATTACAAGGTCTCTATATAACATGTTGAAAATTTTAGAGAAAATAAACTTCTAATTTTATTACTTATATATTTTGTGTTTATATTTATGAAATATATATAAAATAATTATTTTTATTTTAAAAAAATTCTAATTACATGATATATCTTTACTATTAAAACTCTAACTATAATGTAATACTCTATTTAACATAAAATTTTTATCAACACTCCCTTAGATTAGTACAAAAATATCACACATACCCGACTTGCAAACCAGATTCTGGAGAAATTTATTGCATAATTCTTTAGTGAAAATATCAGCCACCTGATCACCAGAAGATACATGATATAAGTATAGACACCCACCAACCACCTTCTCTTTTATAAAGTGTCGATCAATTTCAATGTGTTTTGTCCAGTTATGTTAAACTAAATTATGAGCAACATTAATGGCTGCTTTATTGTCACAAAACAGAGATAGTCTCTTTT